CTGGAGATAATATTTTTCAATATTTACACCACTGTCCTGAAATTATATTCACACACTACAAAAAATTTGAAACAGTGGTAACAGCAGAGGTGGGAAAAATCTGCTTTTCCTTTTTTCCTAGTTTGCTGTTAATTTAATGATATGTGACATTGCTATCAGCGCAATGCAGTAAAACTTAAACGGTACCCAATGTGCACAGACACTATGAAAATTTTAAATGACAACAGCAACAACAAAAATTTTCCTTTCCTATGTCCTTTGCGTTAACATAAGGATATGTGACTTTGCTATCCATGCGCTGCAACAAAATTAAATTGGTGGACAGTGTGCCCATTGAGAGCCTTCAAATAAAAAAAAAATTTAAAAATTATTCTCCTTTGCATCATGTAAAGGATAGATGATGTGAGGAACAAATTTTACTTCAGTACCACATCACAAATAATATGCCATCTGAGAACCTATATTTCTTTCTCATCATGAAGGAGAAAAAAAAGTACTTTGGAACAATTTCTTCAAACTTCTTTTCATTTTTTTAAACACTAAAAATATGTTTTAAAACATTTTCTTATATTAGAGTCATTGTGTTTATACATTTCCTAAATGAATTTTTTTTGTAACATATTTGTGTCTAACATTACTTATATAAATAAAAATACACAGTCATTTTATGGGATAATAGGCAAACAGACATCTGCATGCAACATTTTCCTCATTAGATGTGTTCATGTTAGCATATTTTTATGACTTCACTGCAGAGTACAATGTGCTGATTTGAAACATTCTTAAATATAGCTTATTATGTATGTTAACAACCCAAATGCTTTAGTTATGCTCAGAGAATTGTTTAATAAAGGAGCAGTTAACACTACTGTAGTGTGAGGCCATGTGACCTAGAAGAATATGCCCACAGGCGCAGCAGGAGCAAAAGCAGTAACTCCTCATCTCTGATCAGTAAACTGCTGATGGTCCACAGGTCCCTTCTCCAAGATGACAAGACAGCCAGCTCACTCTCCTTGTTTAGAGCTACTAAACCACATTGCAAATATTTAGGCATGTATTAGGTGACTTAGGACTATTTTTCCACTATGTAGCTTTCAACATTAATACAAAGATGCATGGGTTACGTTGAAAATAGGCAGTGGAACACAGAGTTGTTCCAAAGACCGTGAGTTTTGAGAAAATCTGGTCTGTGATTCAAAACAACAACGGTAAATGAAAGGCATCACTCTAGAAGACTTAGACTGAGGAACTCTCCCAGTTTAATGGGAGTGAGCTCCATCTTCAAGTGTTGCAAACCAATTACTGCAGTGGTTTAACGTGAGCACAACCATCACAGCTAAAAGCCCTCCGTGGAACAGGACGAACAGAGAGTTCAGCCACTGGCAACATCAGGCCAAAGAGCCTTTAACACATGAGCAGATTAGGGTATCTGTGAGTTTCAGTTTCACTAGGATGCATTTGACCAACTAAGCAAAAACCAAGGAATTGAAGGGGTTGATAATCTGGCTGCAAAACTGCACAGATGCACTGCTCAAGCACTTTCACATCATGCTACAGAAGAGCCAGGCAGGCCAAGCTAAGGAAACCATGGGCTTCTGACGAAATGATTTACACACTGGTCAGTCTGAACAAACAGTCTGTTCTGCTCTGGATATATTTAAAGGCTTTTTTCACTGTGATTGTAAGAACAGAATGAATCCTCCAAACCCTTAGTGCTTTCAGCTGGGTTTGATAGTATTGTTACACCTTCTATGCCCATGCTCTGAAAGATGAATACATAATTGAGAAATTCTCTCTTCTAAAATATTTCTTAAATCCAACAACAAAAGAGTTTAATCAGAAAGTTTCTCCCTTTCAGGGATAGTTCTGCCATAGCTGTTTAGATAAAATGATTTGAAATCAGAGCTATAGTCATTTAAATAATCTCTTAAAAAGCTATTACGTTTCCATAATGCTAGTAGTTTTTAAATGGCTCTTGGTTTGATTCATGAACAATACATGAACAGTACATGATTCACATGGGCAATTTTTATTAAGCACTTATCCTCAAAAGAATGTCAGACTGGGTGAAATCTATTGTATACTGCAGCATTTTCATACTTTTTTAATAGCATGCTTTAAGGTTCAACTTCTCACAGACCAAAGTTGACAGAGAAGTTCAGGCTGCCACAGAAGATCAAGGAGCCAACAAAGGCTGAAAGATATTATATAGATAATTGTAAAGATCTTGCTGCAGTTCAAGTGCTTTTGAAGTTCTGTAACGACTTCTTGCTATCAGAAACTGTCAGGTTTAATTGAAGTCAAAGCTTGTTACTAAATCATGAGATCCATAAGTGTGTAAATATTAGTGCTGCTGCTAAGCAATGAATCGCCTTAGTATTAACTACAAAAAAAAAGAATACTTTGCACTGCTTTGAGAGCAGGGCACATAGTGGGCTATGCTGAGAGGTGTACTGGTGTATTTGCAGGGAGGATCATGCACCTTCAGGGGATCAAGACCTTCTGCTTTTAATTCGCTTTTTAACTGACTTGGTGTAAGGGTTGGGTATGTCACTTTTCCTCCATAAAACTGTTTCTTCATTTTCCCTGCTGTTATGTATGGACTACATCAATAATCACCCACCTGGCTGGGATACTGTAAAGTTTAAAAATTTAACTATAATCTTAAATTTTCATATAATTTAAATTATTCAAATATTTCTCCAATTTGAAGTTCAGTATAACAGATAATATGTGATCATAAAGTCAGTCACTTAGGGCTTTGAAACCCTTGCAGTAAACATATCCATACTTTATATACACAGCCACTGTAGATATGATTTTAAAAGAAGAGTTGTTGTTAATTGCCATTTTGAAACAAACAATATGATCAAAATTCAAAATATTGTTTCTGCTGTGTTATAAAAGTTGAATTATGCAATTCAGTACCAAAGTGACTTAGATTTGCTGAAAGGGTTCTAAGTTATGGTAGGCAGATAAGCAGATATAACCAATGAGCAGAGATTTAATATGAATCACAATGGGATTAATGAATAAATATCAGGGTCTTATGTTACCTGTTTACAATCACATTTAAAACTAGAACTACAGCTGTTAGTTATACTTGGGGTACCTTTCACACAGGAGACTAGGCAGTAAACTGATGTGTCTGCACAGCCTCTTGCTTGAGCTGCCTGGGACACAATATTTCAGTTTTGCAGATCATCCAGTTAAAGTTCATCTACTTTTCAAAGTTCTGTGGAAACTTTAACATAGATTTTAACACATGGCATTCTTACAGCTCTACAACCCACCACATACCGGAGGTTCCCTGGGGGAAAAAATGGTGTGGATAGGATCCTAGGTAAAGTGTACCTCTAGGACACATTAAATTTTAATGAACCCCAGTTGTACTTCATTTTGGGATTCCTCTTTTATTGTTGAGTTAGTCAGGCCAATAATCAGGTTCCTAATATATTCAACAAACCATCAGGATACACGAAATATCTTACCAGATAATCCTCTCTGGAATCCACACTTCAGTTTTTAAGTATTCCTTTCACTAATCTCTGTAATCCTGTGTTGATAGAGGTCAGTAAAACAGTGGCGAAAGCCTGTACAATAAAAATAAGTCTAGATTTTGCAATCATTCATTTTATACTTTTTGCTGTATTTTTCTCAGCTGTTTTTACTCCCGAAGGGATGTGACCAGCATTACAGATGTTGCATATGACAGTGCCCAGAAACCGTGAAGAAAGTCTTTACACCAGTACATCAGTGAAGAGCAGAGATCCACCAGCAAACTCAATATATATTCAGAAAATATGTATGAAAGTCAAAACAGGGACTCTATGCTGCTTGATAACTGAGGTTACATTAGCTCACTGGTGTTCGCAGCCACTAGGTTAGCAATTACATGTAATGAAAGTTAACAATGCTGGGTTTATATTGTCCAAAAAAATAGTTGAGTGTGTTTTCTCCTTTTGATTGCAGTTTATTTAAGGGAAGAATAATATTGCATGCTTTGAAAATATTTTATGTGTCTTTGGCTGATAGAACACACAAAACATTCAAATAGGCCCATTTACTTAAGCAGAAGCATTAAAGAATAGTTTAAATGTGAACATCCATGTCACAAATTTTGTAGTCTTTTTAATGTAGGACAAATCTGTGTATTTAAAATAGTCTTTCTTCAAAGCCATCTTTTCCTTCTTTTTTTTTCAAACAGTCATAAAGGAAACTCTGATTTGTGCTGCGTGAACAATGCCAGCGCTGTCTTTGTAATGTTATCCATATGGGCTTCTAATAATAGATAAGTTTTTAGAGATTTGTATTGTATTTCTTAGAGACATTTAAAGTCTTGATAAGGAAAGGCTGATTTCATTGGCCCCACAGTTAAAGGAAAGCAGATCCTAATTAAAAGAATTCTGTTCTGAATTAACTAGTTTGACATGTGCTAATTGACAGTTCCTGTGAAATGGTTCTAATTAAAGTCAATATGTCTTTTTCAATTAAAAGGAAATTAAGAATATACTAATATACATTAACAACTTAATCTGCCTTCAATATCCCATGCATCAGCTGCTTTTTTTCTAATGTTGTTGGAGAACCATCTGACATACATCTTCAACTGTTTCATTATGATATCTTATTATTACTCAACAAGAATACAGGCACTGGTGGATAACCTCTAGAGCAAGAAGAGAACTTGCCTCTACTCCCTGCATGCAATTCCTTATCACTTGCCCAATAAAAGGCTGTCGTGGTTTAGGAACACCCAATTCAGTGTCCCCACTGAGACTCTCCCAAACCACATGCTGTTCACTCCCCCATTCCCATTCCCCTTCCCGCTCCAGCGAGATAAAGTTGAGAGTTGGAGGCACAACAGGTAAAGATCAAAGGCTGAGGTAAGAACAATTCACTGAAAACAGTATTGAAATAAGGAAACTAACAGTAACAGCAACAACATTAATAAGAGAAGTGTGCAAAAGAAAGGGTGATTCACAAACAAAAATACTCACCAAGGACCCTGAGACAATGAACAGTGGCGAACAATGCCACCACGTTTTTTGGACTGGAAGCCACGCACTTCTTCTCGAAAGCCAGAGTGTTCCTTCCCTTGGCAACGATGTGAGGTGGTTTAGAATAACCTTCAGGTCCTGGCCAAAACTAGAACAAAGGTAATACTTCTATATTTTCCACAAAGAAGGAAAAAAGACCTTTCTCACAACCAGAGATCTCCTTATTAATTGCATGCTGGGGCAAGTATTGGCAATTAGTGAATTAATTCAAATTTTTGCTAGAAGTCTTATAAGCAATGGTTTTCTGCTGGACTTTTCTTTCAGTATTTGGCCCAAGGAAAGGCAGGAATTTTACTTTTGAGTGACATCTCTCCTACTCTTTCAGAAGTGAATGCAGGGCAAAGTTCTCTGGTGGGAATGGTTTTAATTGTGTATACAAGAAGAAAATAAAAAGCATGCCTCCTTGGTAGAGCAGTGCTGAAAACAATCCAATTGTTGTTGCTGGAAATGTGATGCAGTTGTTTTTAGCCACAAAATTAAGTATTCAAATGTGCAGTTGTGTTCTTGCTACCAATTCCAAGGCTCTACTGCTACTGATTTACTAACTAAAAAAAGCACCATTAAAAGTAGCAGGCCCTATGCCAATAAGAACGCTGTCCTGAATGTATGGTGAACTATACAGAAGATTGACATCTTCTCGTTTAAGCTTTGCTTTTGATTTTTCATAATTTTTATTTTCTTATTTGGGAAATAATAATGAAAAATTCATCTGATACATTTTGGGGAGAGTAGAGTCACCAGGGGTGACAGAGTAATTGACTTAAAAGGGAATTATATGTCTGTTTTTAAAAAAATTGCATCCTATAGCCTGTTAAGGACATAATTTCACTTCTATTATAAATTTTATATTTCACGGAACACAACTTCAGCTATGAATATTCACTCTGCTGAATGTTTCACAAAGAGAATATATTACCTAGCTAGATTTTACCAAAATATGACTGTGCTCCAGCAGCTTATAGCATTTTTTTAAGTGACTCTTTCAAATTATAACAAAAATATTTATCTGTTTTCACAAATATTAAAATTCAGCAAATAAAAATTTACTTTAACCTGTGACATTATGAGACAAAATTAAGTGATAGAGAGTAGATTTTTGTAGCTCCAGAAACTGCACTAAAGAGTGCAACTAAGATTCAGAAACTGTATAAAATGCTCTGGGAAAATTTGGGTGTTGTGGTGAAATGTTATTTTTCACCTTTGTTTGAAGACACTGTCTTTCCTGCTATTTGTTGAAATTTATAGTCATTTTAAGAAGCAGCTAATATCCAAAATATTTCATACTGTTGAAATAAAAATTACCACAATGCACATTATTGTCTGGTTTTGATTTAAAAAAAAAATACAGCCAAACTTTTGGGACTGTGTGACCAGATTTTATATAGGCAGCTACTTAATTTTTTGCAAAAGCAAATGTCAATGAAAGACTTTAAACTTTGTCCCAAAGCATCTACTATACATCTCACAGTGCCTTATCTTAAGGCTAAGAACAGCTTTCTTGATCAACCTTCTTAAAAGCATAGAGACCACTTACACAAGGGTATAGACTTGGGTAAAGCACCTTGAGTCCTAGACTAGATGAAGATTTTTAGATAGTCATTATGCGACCAAGAAGTTTCTTACCCGACTCCCTTCATTTGTGCTGCTGGTGGGTCTCTGCAACTCTAAAGGAAGATTTTGAAGGGAAAAATATTTCATAAAACCTGCAATAAAGAAAAGGAGTAGCTAAAGTAGTCACCTCAAAAAGTTACTGTTTGGTTTTGCCAAATGGAGTTAAATACCCAACTCCCCTTGAGGACGCAAAATAAATGGCGTGATGTTTTATTTCAATATAATAATTCTATTTGACAAAACCAGGTGCTAAGATAATCAGATCCTAGAGACCCCAATGTCCCAAGGAAAAATACTCATACCTTTACAACAAAATCTGAAATAATATCTTAAATTTTTCCTTTATTTTAAATGCAGAAGACCCCCACAACAGCGAAGTGGACTGGACTCTTTGATGCCACATCTTTGTTCATTGTAATATTTTAATATTTCATTACCTAAGCTGGGGATACATTCATTTATGTGTGTATCTAGGACTGTATATCACTCACAGACACCACCTTTCTCAGCATCAGATTTGTTAACCATAACCTCAATATGGTGCTGGTACAGATGCAACACTGAACTCAGATGTGAAATGTGTCTCTAAATCAACAAATAAACGGATATCTGGTAGACAGCAGAAACGCTGTTTGTATTCGTTAAAATTCCATGGTACTTGGCACAAGTGGAATGCTAATCCCGGAGCCTAAACTGAGAACCAATCCCACAGGTAGTTAAAATGTTTTTAAAATAGAGTAAGACTACCTGCAAAGTTCAGTTTGCAGTCCTGGGTGATCGCTGAACCTCAGTATTCTCACTGTACAAAATGCTGCTTCTTTTTCCACTGGCTGCATTACGCTTTATTCTCTCTCCTTTTACTGTAGCTTTGCTGTAAACTGCTAGGAATTTATTTCATGTATTTCCTATTTTGGCTGCATTTTATGAACAAGTGAGAGGATGAGGATTATGGCATATGAAGCACTAGGAAAATTGTTTTCCTCTTATTCCCCTTGCTAATCCTGTTTCAGTATTTCCACTCCTTGGTCTAAAAGTGGGGAGAAAAGGGGAAAGAAGGAGTCACATAGTTCCCCTTGACTCATGAAAATAGGCACATTGATTTGAAAAAGCTACTGTTTGCTGGAACTCATAAGTGTAATGCATTTCCAGGACATGTAAGAATATTCTTCCTACAGTGCAAACATTTGCGTTTGATGAGGTTGGTGCTGGTAGCTGTGGGGTACCGCTTGCTTGTACAAGTAATCTCAGAAGCCAGTGGGGCAGGAAGGAAGAGAAATTCTTTGTCCGAGTAAAGATTGTGCTTTAGAGAAATGCTTTATTATTGTTGTTGTTGTTGTTGTTATTGTTGTTGTTGTTGTTACTATTATTATTACAATAATAATAGTTGTTATTATTATTATCATTGTTATTATTATTATCATTATTACTATTATCATCATTATCATTAAATAAAGAGTAGCAATAATCTCGGGGTGGGGGGAACCACTGTGTGAATCAGAGTAGTAATCTTGTGAATTACCTTCCTGTGGATGAAGGTCTAGATGGTTTCCGGTGGAGTCTGACAGCTCTGAAAGTCAAAAACACAGTAAGACCCAAAAGAAAATCAACTACCAGTTCCTACTAGCCTTCCAGAATGCAGCTATCTCTGCCTTTGTATAAATAATTGGGGAAGCAGTCTTTCTGTTTATATCCATCCTAGCTAGATAGAGCTGTCTGTGTGGGGAACGAACTGCCGTGTTCTTGATGCAAGCCAAGCACATCTTTTGAATTTTACAGTCCAAGAAAAAAATTGTCTTGGCAACAGGTTTGGTTGAGAAACCAGCAAGTGGGACATGAGGTGCTGTGGTCCATGTAAAAACCTCTGGTTAGCAAGTTCCTTTGTCTCAAACATCTCTCCTTCTTACGATTTTTCCTTCTTCTTCCCTCCCTTTCTACAGCACTTACTGTATGTAGTCACGTTTTCCAAGCTGTAAATGCTGTACAAGTTATACATCCTCTTAATACATGCATTATGGAATACTTTTGGTTTTGTTCTTAGAACAGATAAACATATTTTCAACATAGATTTTCTAATGAGCTGAAAAATAGTCATGTGAGGTGTTTTTAATATCTTGTTGGCTTTGCTATTGAGAACTTTGGGCCCCAGACAGCCTCCATTTATGTACCATGCCCCACATCTTTTCTGTTACTGTTAACTGAATATTCACATTACAGTGTTCCCGATCCTGACCCCTATTTTTTTCACATGCATTTTGTACTCAGTAGCATCCATTTGTCTGGCACTATTAATATTATCATGCAAATAATTATTTCGTTAAAGTCATCCTCTTCAGTGACTGCAAAAACAATTTATGATTGAGAATGTGTTTGCATCCCTCTGTTTCATTCAGACAGATAGATCAGTACAGAAAATAACCATGGCTAAGAAGGGGTACCAGTTTAATCTCCTATATTTTAAGTATTCAAGCTTTTCTAACCTTTACTTTCATGCCTCTACCTTTTGGGCTAATCTTTGTGGTCTTCACGTTTGCTCCAAGAGATCTTTTTTAAGTGAAAACATGAAGTTAACTAGAAATATATACATTTTTTTTAACTTTAAGAGAAATTTCATCCAAAACAACTAGCTGTTGGTAGTTAAAACACAGCATGGAGCAACTTTCCAAGAATGTTTTCTTCCACTATGACAGAGAAATCTAATTAGAACCGTGCTTTGACTGAGATTTTGATAGCTGTATTCAAGTCATTCTGAATCCACAAACAGGGAAGACTGTGCTGAACACATGCATGGATGAAACTGTTGCTGAGTGGGAGGTGAGCAGAAGTGGTAGAAGGCAAGGAAGGTTGTACCTGTTTTTATTTAGTCTCTGCAGCTCCTTGTATATCCAGCAAGGAGAAATCCTGTTGGGATGCCCTTCAAAGCATTCTGCAACTCCTGGTAGTTATCAAAATGGTCATCCAAAATCTGGCGATGGACTGAATTCATACCACCTGACATGAAATTTTATTCAACTTTAGCACATTTTTGGCCAGCCATGTGACCTTTTATAAGTCAAGGAGTTGCAGAAAGAATTCAATTGTGCATGGGTTCACTCTGAGACCTTCCAGTCCTGTTCTAACCCAGACAACCAGCTGTAGGCACATAGTACTCCTGTGTTGGTTTATGAGCTAAGATACTCAGAAGCCCCAAAGCAGTTTTTCTTCTGGGTCCTCCACCATCTTTCCCTGAAATGCTGAAATGCTGCAGAGACAGTAAATGTGCCAGGCAGAGTCCAGTAAAAGTATATGAAAAGTACCCTGCAGAGAGTACCCACATTTCTGACAGGTAATATTAAAATAGATAGCAGTGAAAGCAGACTGGCACTGTAAAGCTCTCTAAAATATGTAAATATCTTTGTTCTACCATCACAGAAATAGTGACCCTGTCTAATGGTCTGTTAAATGTTTTGGGTCGCTAATTAAGCTTTCATACCCATGTTACTTACAAGCAAATTTGGAAACTCCAATGTAAGACAGCAAAGACAAAGGAAAACAAGCATGGGTGTCCTGAAAGGATCATCTTTTTTCCTAGGTATTGCCATTTTACTGCTGTAGTCCATTTCAGATATACTAAATACTGCCATTCTCTAACATATGTGTAATGGCTGTCTATCTTCTTAAAGCTGTGATAATACTTAAAGAATACTACACTTTTTTAGTGGAGAAATACCCCATATCTTCGAAGTAAAAATTAACGTAACCTCAAAGACCAGACTAAATGTTCCAGTGGAGCTTTGTCGTGTTCTTGTTTGGGTAGTTAACTATCATGTCTTTGATCCATGAAATGTCTTCCCAAGCCAAAAAAGCAGTCCAGTGTTAAGCATGTGACTGTCTTTGCACAGTTGTAGTGGGTTTCTGTGGCTGGGTTTTTGTAGGGGGGGGAGTAGCTACAGGGGTGACTTCTCTTAGAAGCTGCTAGAAGCTTCCCCTGTCCCATGGAGCCAATGTCAGCCGGCTCCAGGATGGAGTTCCTGCCACTGGCCAAGGCTGAGCCAGTCAGGAGTAATAGCAACACCTCTGGGGTAACATATTTAAGAACAGAAGGTTGTGGCACAGAAAGAATTCCAGCCAGGGAAGAGTGGAGTGAGAACATGGGAACAATGTAGACACCAAAGTCAGTGCAGAAGGAGGGGCAGGAGGTGCTCCAGGCACCAGAGCTGAGGCCCTGCAGCCCGTGGTGCAGACCATGGTGGAGCAGTTGTGCCCCTGCAGCCCATGGAGGACCATCGGGGTGCAGAGACCCACCTACAGTCCCTGGAGGAGCCCATACTGGAGCAGGTGGATGCATGAAGGAGACTGTGGCTCCATGGGAGGCCCAGGATGGAGCAGGGTCCTGCTGGAGACCTGCAGCCCATGGAGAGGGAAGCCCAC